CAGGCCTGGGCCGAACCCCTCCAGCGCCTCCTCCCGTCAGTCCTGCCGGGGGCCTTGCGACGGCTGTCCCCCTGGCCCCGCTATGCACTGAAGTCCCTGAGGCGGAGAGGTTGGCGGCTGACCGCTCCTCAGCGCTGGGCACACGCTGGGCACGGGCCGAGCTCCTACTGCCCCCCCATAACCTCCTTCCCTCGACCCCCCAGTCTCCTCCCCCTGGCGGCAGCAGAGCGCAGCACAGGCTCCGACAGTGTCTGCTTCAAACCCCGTCCTGCCCACCACGTCTGCGTCTGCGCGGGGCGGCGCCCGTGTCACCAGTCCCCACCCACCCCAGGGGCATTTGGGCCAGAAGCACACGGGTCTCCCAGCCGGTCCCTGTGGGCAGTCACCCTGGGCCAGCCCACCCCCCATGGGCGGTCACCCTGGGCCGGGCCACCCCCTGTGGGCAGTCACCCTGGGCGGGGCTGTCTCAGGCCCCCCAGCCCTGGCTCGGTTACGGGTGAGAGGCAGAGGCCCTGTGTTTACTGGACAAGTCACACCTTCCTTAGGTAAAGCGTGGGGCGACTCTAAAGGATTGAAATCGCCACCGGCCACGAATGTGGCCACACTGGGTGTGCCCGTCAGCAGTGAGCAGGGGAAGCAAAAGGGTTTTCCCGAAACACCCACGAAGCAAGTGGCACCGGGATGGCGTCCGGCCTCGCGAGGCTCACACGGCCCAGGGGGTGGCTGAGGGGTCCCCGTGCTCGGGAGGGAAAGCCTGCGAGCACTGCTGACTCTCGCCCCCCTGCCCCCCCAGGCAAGCTGTCCCTGGAGGAGTTCATCAAAGGTGCCAAGAGCGACCCGTCCATCGTGCGGCTGCTGCAGTGCGACCCCAGCAGCGCCAGCCAGTTCTGAGCCCGGCGCCCGCCCGACGGCAAGAGCACAGGCCTCTCACCGGTTAAGCTTTGCTCGCAACAGCGGATGCCTCCTCCATCATCCCTGCTACCCGGCCGGCCAGGTGACCCCGCACTCACCTGGCCCCCTG